CCCCCCCAGTATACAGCAGAGTGCTGGCAGATTCGTCTCTGCCAAAGGTTGTCCCTGACACCTTTAGGCTGTGGAGAAGTGCTCTGTGAAAGTGCCTTGCTTCTGCATTTTGAAGATCTTCACCTAGAGGAAGTAACTTTGTCTTCGTGGCACGTATGTTACTCAAACCTATGCCTTTTCTATAGATTAAGTTGCTTCGCTGTGGTTTATACAAATATCTCTTTGGTGGATACGTGTGTGAGTGTGTTCTGACCCTTCGCAGGCAGCAGACAAGTGCCGGAAAGCCCTGAAGATGCAAGGGCTGGAGGAGTCTCCTGGCTGTAGGCTTCTGTCCTCCCCTGTGCCAGATTGTCATCTCTTTAGATTTGGGTAGAAGACCAATATTTTCCTGCTTAAAATGTCTGTTAAGTGCGATTTGTATTTGTTAGCATGATTTGATCAGTTGTGTGTAGGGTTTCTTACTGGTAGGTGAGAGGGAACTGATTTTGTTGGTCTTGGCTCTGCCAGTCCAGCGGCGGTTAAACTCTTGCTGTGGTAGGTTGCCATGTGGTTGTGGAAACAGGTGTATCAGTGCAGTCTGGTGTGTCCTGAAACCCGAGGGGAGAAGAGTCATGTGAGAAAGGCAGGGAAGTCCCAGGGCTGCTGAGGAGTCCTCCCTTACAGCCATGCTTACTCTCCTCCCAGTGTCTTTCAAACAGAGGAATCTGCCTCTTGAAAAGGTGTCGATTGTCTATTAAGTGGCATCAGATCAGATTTAGAAAAGACCTTTTGACTGTCAGCTTTGCTAAGCTGCTGTCAGTCATGCAGACAGCTCTCTGCCTTCCTGTTCCCATCTGTTTTACCCTGAAGGAGCACTGGATTTTTAGGCTGCCAGACTAGTGTCTTCTAGCACTGCTTTGCTGCTGAGGAATGGTGCTTTTTGGACCCACCACGTGTGAGATGGCTGGAATTTGGTTTGTGTTTAGTGGGGACGTGGCAGGGTAGGAAAAGGAACGAAGGGGCAGTGGCTTCTTCCCATGGTCATAATGACATTGAGAGCATGGCTTTGTAATTTGAGGCGCTGGGACAAGAGAGGTATGAGATGGCGAGCGGAGTGCTTGGCCTGGAATTAATCTGACAGGCAGGAAGGAGTGAAACATGGCTGAGAGTTTGGAGTTAAGTGTCTAACCTTTTTGCAGGCTGCGGATACCTTGGCTGTGCGACAGAAGCGACGGATCTACGATATCACGAATGTCCTGGAAGGCATTGGGTTGATCGAGAAGAAATCCAAGAACAGTATCCAGTGGAAGTGAGTGACAGAGAAGGTCTAAATCGTTCACAAGTCCCTTCTAGTCCAGGTCTGAGTGACACTGGGGTTAAAATGCCCTGCTCAGACCAAAGCTCCTCAGTGGTCTGTGCATGCTTGTACTTCCCCCAGCTGGGCTCTGCTGATGGTGGTAATGAGGAAACCTGAAGTACACATGGCATGTCTCTTTCACAGTGGAGCTGTTATTTTGGTACAAACTATGTATTTGCAGCACCTTCGGCTAGAAAAGATGCCTGTTATGGCACTGGGGGTGGGGGAGAGCCCTACCAGTCTGCAGGATGTAAAGCAGATGTACCAAATGTTGCTGTGCTGGAAGGCGGGGATCTAGAGCGGGTACAGATGAGGCTTTCTGGGCGATCTGGCCTTGACATGACAGGGGTGGCAGTAAGGGAGGTGGCAACCTCTCTGAGAGGTTGGGGCTGGTCTGGGTGCCTCCAGAGGCTGATGCATGTCACTCCTTTTTATGTTGTGCAGAGGGGTGGGTCCTGGCTGCAACACACGTGAAATAGCTCACAAACTTATCGAGCTGAAGGCAGACATAGAGGACCTGGAGCAGCGGGAACAGGAGCTGGAGCAGCAGAAGATGTGGGTTCAGGAGAGCCTCAAAAATGTTACAGAAGATGTGCAGAACAGTCGATATCCTTTGTGTGAACTGATTATTCTGTCCCCGTGTTGGCTTGCTGGGCTGGAAAGCAGAGACCTGACGGTTGGTGCTGCCCTGCTCAGGGCAGAGGGGTACTGGTGACCTGATGTTGCTGGAGGATCTGTGCTGGAAGGGTCAAGAGGTAGTGCCTGGATTTGAAATTGGGGTAACTGTCCGGCCTGGGAACCAGGTTTCTCTGCGATGCACAGCTTCTCGTCTGGCTTTTTGAAGTAAAAAACACTGTAATGTTTACCATGATGAGAAAAGTGCCACAGGTGCCACTTTCTGGAGTGCAGAGCTGCTTTTGTGGCTGGCCTGTCTTAGGATGTCAGCTCTGATGAGTATGTTGCTTTCTGGGAATGGCATTTCTTGTGCTCAGGAAGGAAACACCAGGTGCCCTTTGAGTGCTCTGTCAGCACAGGAAGCTGCAGCCTTTCTCCTTAACCTTGGAAACATTAGCGTATGTGACACACGAAGATATCTGCAAGTGCTTCACAGGTGAGGAAATGGTGCTCCATCGTAAAGATGTAACGCTGCAGTCCTATCAGTCTGTCCCAGTTGCTCTCCTTTCTCCAGGAAAGAGGAGGCAGCAGACCACAGGCTGCCAAACAGCATCTTGTTAAACGTAGTGCGAGCTCTGATGCTATGCTGGGTTTATGTACCACTGAGCTGTAGCTTTCTTGTCACCATCGGAGGGGGCAGGTGGTTTCTTTTACTTGTGTTTAAAGGAATATTGCTGCTATTCCTAAGGCAGTCTTTTTGCTGGGTGTCACTATGTGGGTGTATGTGTGTTATGTTAGAAGCTTTTGAGGGCTTGGGTAGGCAATGTTCTAGTAATAGGAAGCAAATTTTATTGCATGGTAAAAATCTGGGTGTAAGCAGGAAAACAGTATAAAAAGTGGTCCCTCAGCTGCATCATGCCCTCTGCCTACAATAGGGATGTAGTGAATGCAAGAGGGAGGTAGTGAAGAGTGGGACAGGAGGGAATACACTGCTTGCTGTGCTCTTGCTCCCTTGTGTACTGCCTTTCTAAAGCTGTGAGGTGCCTCTGTAAAAAGCCACGTGTTCTGTCTGTGGGGCAAAAGTGAAGAAAACCCACAGCAGCCTCTGTTTCTTCTCTATTGCCAATTTTAATGATAGCTGTAGGACCAAAAAAAAAAAGTAGAAAATCCCCGGTGGCCAGTGTGCAATCCGGCAGCCTGTGGTACATAAACTGTTCTTCTCAGCTGTGGCAGTGTGGAGTCGCAACTCCTTTCTGCTTCGGTGGACACCTGAACTCTCCTGACCTCGTGCAATCTGCATCTGCTTGCTTGCAGCAGAGATTGAAGCTACTTATCCTGATCTCCCCCAGCGATGCGTCATCTCACCCTTGCCTGACTCTCTCCTCATCTCTTCCAAGTACTCTTCTCACCCTACACTTCATCAGCTCTTCTGTTTTTCATCTTTGCCTTTGTGTGCTTTCCTTGTTTCCCAGACTTCACAGTGCTTGAGTTCCTGCTGGTAACTTGTGCATCACCACCCCCTTTGCTTTACTGTCTCTTATGATTTAAGCTAGGACTTTTTGGGGGCAGGGATTGGGTTTTCAGTTTGACAGTGCTTGGGGCCGGATAACTCATAACAGTCTGGAAGAGTTTACTGGAGACCAGCAGACAGCTTATTGCTTGGTTGATTGAGTGCTTTGCATTTTATCGCACCTGTTTTTTGTAAACTGGTTTGTGTCTAAAGTCAGACCTCACCAAAATGTGCAGAGATTAG